TCAAAAATCGGATATGAGTGAGAGATGGAGGAAGGAGACATGCACCCGGAAGAAGAAAGCTGGGTTAGAGAGTGCCAAATCTCTGCTGCATGTAGCAGACAGTGTTCTTGGTGAAGGTAGCAGCAACCAGTTGCAGGTGATCAAGCAAGCAAGAGATAGTCCCAAGGTGTGATGTAGGAAGAAAAACGCATGATTGCAACGGGTGGCAAAAGGTCACTTGGGTTAAGCAGCGAGTAAGGATCGATGGGAGAATACAAGATTCAAAAAAGCCTCTTAGTGCCTGATGCCTGGAAGACAACACGCACCTACTACACACACCCTTATGCATGTAAGACAACACGCACCTACTACACACACCCTTATGCATGTAAGACAACACGCACCTACTACACACACCCTTATGCATGTAAGACAACACGCACCTACTACACACACCCTTATGCATGTAAGACAACACGCACCTACTACACACACCCTTATGCATGTAAGACAACACGCACCTACTACACACACCCTTATGCATGTAAGACAACACGCACCTACTACACACACCCTTATGCATGTAAGACAACACGCACCTACTACACACACCCTTATGCATGTAAGACAACACGCACCTACTACACACACCCTTATGCATGTAAGACAACACGCACCTACTACACACACCCTTATGCATGTAAGACAACACGCACCTACCTATCACATCATTTGCCATAACTTCTGCCGCAGACCAAGCCTTGACGCCAGACCAGCCCCTCTCTCCGCCAATCACGATCGTTGCAGCACGCTGCATGGAGCAGGGATAGGAAGAAAGAAAGGCACAATAGGTGGGAAGCCCTTTTTGAGGCGCTTAAGAAAAGGCCAGCCACGATCGTTGCGGCATGCTGCATGGAGCAGGGATAGAAAGAAGGAACGGAAGGCACAAGAGGAAAATATCCTTTTCTTGAGATTCTTTAAAAAAAGGCCAGCCACTATCGTTGCGGCATGCTGCACTGCACTGCATAGAGCAAGGACAGAGGGAACAAAAGGCATGATAGTAAACAAGGCACGATAGTAAACAAGGCACGATAGTAAACAAGGCACGATAGTAAACAAGGCACGATAGTGAACAAGGCACGATAGTAAACAAGGCACGATAGTAAACAAGGCACAATATTAAACAAGTCACGAAATGCTGCAATAAGGTGGCACGCGTGACAACACAGAGAAGTCGTGCGTCAAGTAGTGCGTCGCATCGAGTCATGTGTGGCACTGTAACATTATGTGTGTTCATACTAACAGCTGATTTTTAAGGCGCCTTATGAACTGAGACGATTTTCTCGTGCACCATGAGTTCCATGTAAAATGTCTTATGTGTGGTAGCCTGCATGATTAAGAGGCTACTATAACCCTATATATTGTTTGTCATAATGACTTGTATGCTGTTTGCTTCATGGCATCGTATAAATTAACCATACTGAATGTCTGATGGCGTCATACAAACCATGCTGAATGTCTGATGGCATCATGTTTCGCATGTATAAATGCATGGCTATTGAGATTCTAAATGCATCAACATCTTAACTCACACGCGTCGAACGCCTCATGGGATGATAAATTTCAATGCTGAATGAGGTGACTTTTGAGTCGACTCAAATGGCACATGGCATGAAGAAATTTGCATGATGAGATTCATGCTTGATGTTTCAGAGAACGGTGAATCGCTTGACATGTCTCTTGGCATCTGCATGCTGAATAGCTGATCGCATGGTGGCTTTAAAGCTGAAAGTCTCTTAGCTTGAAGAACGTATTCTGAAAGTCCTAGCGTTGTGAATTACATAGCATGATGGCCAACAGCATCATGATTGCAAAAACAAAAGAAAAAAGATATTGATAGTGGAGAAAAGAATGGGGGGGGGGGGGGGGGGGGGGGGGGGGGGGGGGGGGGGGGGGGGGGGGGGGGGGGGTGGTCTTGCACAGCGACGTGAAGATGAAGAGAGTGTATTTCTGAGACGTCTCTAAAACACACGCCATTTGCAAAGAATGGGGGAGGGTTTTTGCACAGCGCACTCACCGCAACTGCGGGTGCAGGGCTGATTGTGCCGGGAGGGTCCAACGAGCAGTCTAGTTTTTTGGCGCCTCAAAACTGCACAGCGCACTCACCGCAAGTGCGGGTGCAGGGCTGGTTGTGACTTTTGAGACGTCTCAAAAGTAAACTGCACAGCGCACTCACCGCAAGTGCGGGTGCAGGGCTGGTTGTGCCGGGAAGGTCCACCGAGCATCCTCCTGCACATGATGGGCCCGGCCCGGGGTGAGTGAGAGATTCTCAGCACGCGGGGTGAGAGATTCGCAGCACGCGGCATCCTCACAGCATTGCCGCAGTCGCAGCGCCACAGCAGCGCGTGACAGACAGCACGGCAACACGCGGGAGAGGAAACGCAGTATTTAGAGAGTACAGCACGAGCAGGTGCGGTGGAAATACCGCGTAGGAAACGCAGCTAAGAAAACGTCAGCGCTGGCTGCGCTGAGGCATGCAGAGCAGACGACTCCAGGTGGTTTGGATGTCAGGCTCAGAAGTTATCCCCGCTATAAGCCGCACGTTGCTTACCCGCGAGGAGCACCAGCAGCAGCAGTATTGGATAGGGGCGGCAGCTGAGGCTCCGCTTGACAAGCGCCATTGGATACGCTGCTGGGAGCCACGCCGGGTAGGTCCGGAAGTAGGTTCGTGAGTAGGTCTGGGAGTAGTAGTAAGTCTGGGAGTAGGTCTGGACTAGGTCCGCGAGGGGTGAACGGAGCACGGAGGGAGAGACTTCGCGTGATTCAGCACGGTGGGAAGGGCTTCGCACGGAAACCTCACGGAGCGTGAGAGCACGCCGTAGGTACTGTAAGAATCAAGGCCCTGAATATAGCTGTGGACGCGGGAGGCGCGAGCGGCGACAGTGTGGAGAGGCGAGTGCGAGCATGCTTCAAAAGCATGCCATGCCACCTGCTGTGCTTGCTCTGGTTGGCGTAGGTACCGTGAGCCAAGGCCCTGAATATAGCTGTGGACGCGGGAAGTGAGAGAGAGCGGAGGAACTCATATTTTTCCGGTCTGACTGCGGCGAGCCATTCTTATTCGCTGAGAGGGGAGCGCCAACCAAACAGGTACGGTAGGCCGGAGAGCGAGCAGGGGCGAGGTCGCAGGGAGCATGGCGCGAGGGGGAGTGGAGTCGCGCGAGCGCAGTCGCGAGTCGCCGCCGAGGGGGTGAGTGCGAAGGAGATGTTGTGTTGCGGGGGGGTGAGCTTGGCGACCTAGGGAGCTTCGCGCGTGGCTCAATAACGCTGATCAATCAACCAATCAGAGCCTCTTCGCCACAACAAGTGATACTGTATAACTCGCCGATGTCGACAAAAAGGCGGTGGCCGTGAATGAAAGCACACAGGTGATGCGATGAGATGAGACGACGGGCGGAAAAGAGTGACAAAATCGACTCGCTTGGTTCTGCGGGCAGAGGTGCATGCTCCGGTCCGGCCGACGACGCGATGGCGTGAAGTGCCGTTGACATTGATCTCGCTCGTGCTCCATCCTAGGTGGTTTGGTTTCGTTTGGACGCGCACCTAAATGGAGCAATAAACCGCGTCATCGATATAATGTATGGACATACTGTACTGGCTTCACATCGGAGTAGGGTTGCTTGCGATGCGAGACAGACCTTGGAAGTGGTGCAAGTAGTCCTAGATGCTGCCCTAGCAGTTCGCGTTGGGCTTGTTGGCGTCCCCACAAGGAAACTGCACGCTCGTCAAGCTTCTACACCAGATTCTCGTTACTTCCAACAAGGTCTGTACTGTGCAGAGCATTTTGCGTTCGTAAAATAACAGAGGAGAAAGACGTTGGATGTTATCGGAAGAAAGCTGGTTCTTTCTTGTACGCCGATTTTTTGGGTGACCGGGCCCGGTTTTTTCTGCACGATCTCATTTTGACGAACCGCCTGTCGTGATCAACGTGCTCCGGGGGATTGTAACATGGGTGCAACAGCCGGAACCAAATGTAATTGAGCCGGATTTTAAAACTAACACTCCAAACTTGCGTGTAACAGCTGAGAATTTTGTGTACTGTAAACGAAGAATGCGTTGTGCTTGCAGTATGAAAAGGAGTGATCGGGTTTTAGGATTTTCGATGAGTCGGAGAACATACGATTTGAAATGTCCTGGGCTGTAAAAACACGTTCCAAGAACTCTTACAACCTATGAATATTCCCTGCTCATCCTGCTTTATGCATCCTAACCTGATTCCCCCCTTCCCCTTGCGCTTCACAGCAAGTTTGTTTCTAGTGCTGATATGGACTACGGACGAGGAGGGAGGGAAGGTGGGCCTATTGCAGCGAGTTAGGAAGAGGATGACGTGACGACGACAATGACACCAATGATGACACTGTTGTTGTAGGAGAGCTGCAGAGCAGGTGTTTTGAGACGTCTCAAAACATCACTTTTATCACATGACGACGACAATGACACTAATGATGAAACTGTTGTACGAGCGCTGCAAAACAGGCTGGGGGAATACGGTGCATTCAGTTCTGCGATGCTGCCTTCGTGGTTCACATCAAAACCCTGTGCGCCTCTCGAGAGGAGGGAAGGCGTGCCTATTGCAGCGAGTTGAGGAAGAGGATGGCGACGACAATGACACCGATGATGATGGGAACGATGCTGATGCCGTACAGCACACTGTAGCCCTGCACATTCCCCATGCCATGTGGTGGTTGGTACATGGTGGATGGTACGGAGAACACGACACATGGAAGTGCAGAGAAGGCATGTAATATTAGAATCGAAAAATGATGTGGAAGAAATGATGGGAATGATGCTAATGCCGTACAACACGTTGTAGCCCTGCACGGCTGTAGCAGGGCCACGTTGTAGCCCTGCACGGCTGTAGCAGGGCCACGTTGTAGCCCTGCACATGTCCTGCATTCAACAGCACACTTAGTTGGGTTAAGGCATAACAAGCCGTGCTGCAGTTGAGGTAAGGCGTGTTACAGTTAGGTAAGGAAGCAGGGAATGCTGGGCGCGATGCAGAGGAAGGAAGCATAGGACTCAAGGCTTGGAGAGCAAGAGGGAGAAGCACGCACCACCCAGGGAGGCACTTTGCTGCCGAGGTCCTTCTCCTCCTCCGCCTGCTTCTCTGCCGCCTTCTCAACTCGCTCCACCACCGCGTCCCATTGGCTCGCAGACGATCCGCCTGCTGACGTGGCGGATGCTGCCGTGGCGGACGCTGAGTAGGCGGCGGGAGGGCGGTTGGCCTGGGCGCCGCCCTGCAGTCCCACGTCGGTGATCTGCGCGTAGGGAGACGTGCGCTGCCCACCTGCCCCCACTGCCTCCTCGGGTGCTGGCTCCTCCTGGCCGGGGCAGAGCATGGGAGAGAGGAAGGCGGGGGAGAGAGGTGTGTGAGGTTGGCCTGAGGATGTGCGACTGGCCTGTGCGCCGCCCTGCAGCCCCACGTCGGTGATCTGCGCGTAGGGGGACGTGCGCTGCCCGCCGGATGCCACTGCTTCCTCTGGTGCTGGCTCCTCCTGGCCGGGGCAGGGCACAGAGCGAGAGAAGGGCAGGGAGCAAGGCGGGGGAGACAGTTGGGGGAGAGAGGAGTGTGCGTTGGCCTGTGCGCCGCCCTGCAGCCCCATGTCGGTGATCTGTGCGTAGGGGGACGTGCGCTAACCGCCTGCCCCCACTGCCCCTCGGGAGCTGGCTCCTCCTGGCCGGGGGAGGGCAGGGTGGGGGGAAAGAGAGGTGAGGAAGTGGGATAGGTGGGGGGTTAGAAAAGAGGGGTCGGGGAGAAGCGTAAGGGAGGGGTGTGGGGGAGAGGGGACGTGCGCTGCCCGCCTGCCCCCACTGCCTCCTCGGGTGCTGGCTCCTCCTGGCCGGGGGAGGGTGGGTGGGGGGGGAGGTGGGGGAGAGGGGTGCGGCGGTAGAGGCGTGGGGGAGAAGGGGGGTTAGGGGAGAGTGGCATGGGGAGGAGAGATGGGGGAGAAGAGTGAGGGAGAGGCGTGTGGGACTTGATGGGAAAGAGGTGTGGGTAAGAGGTGGGGAGAGGGGTGGAGAAGAACAAACGAAGAAAAACATTCCTACCTCCCTTTGAACAAACAAACCAACCTTCCGTGTCCCCTCCTCCCTGCCCCACATCACTCACTCGTAGGCGTGGCCAGTCGCGCATGTCCTGCGCCAGCTCTCCTTATCGTAACCCCTCCCCCTCTCGCTCCCCCCCCGCACCACATCACTCACTCGTAGGCGTGGCCAGTCGCGCATGTCCTGCGCCAGCTTGCGCAGCACCATGCGGTCTGCTGGTACGCGGTCCTCACACACACCTGGGGGGGGAGGAGGGGGGAGGAGGGGGGAGGAGGGAGGTGGGGGAGGAGATACATCTTAGAATCAGCTTGCACAACACCATGCGGTCTGCTGGGTACAAAACACGGTCCTCAAACACCTGGGGGAGAGGGAGGGGGGAGGAGGGGGGGGGGGGAGGGGGGGTGTAGGAGGAGGGGGGGGAGGAGATACCATCTTAGAATCAGCTTGATGGGGCGGCGGAGGGAAAGAGGCACGGAGGGGAAAGGGGGGAAAGGGGGGGGGGGAGTTTCAAAAGCAGCTGGCGCAGCACCATGCGGTCCGCTGAGACACACACCTGGAGGGGTGAGGAGAGAGAGAGGGGGGCGGAGTGACGTTCAAAACCCTCTCAAAAGAAGCACCATGCGATCCCGCTGACACACACACGGTCCTCATGCACCTGCCTGTGCACTGAGGGGAGGGGGGCCACGGAGGGAAGAGGGTGCTGGGAGACAGAGAGAGAGAGAGAGAGGGGAAAGGACGAGGATGTTTTGAGATGCCTCAAAAGAAGCTCTCCCTCCCCTCCCCACCATGCGGTCCTCGCACGTGGGGTCCTCGCATCCTCCTGAAGCGAAGGCGGGAGGGGGGAAGGGGAAGGGGGGGGTTTGGGGAGAGAGATGGGGGAGCGGTGTGGGAGTGTAAGGGTGGGAAAATGATGCATGGTTTCGCGCACGCCTTTCGCCATCGCTCGCTCTTGCCTCCTTTTTTTCCCGCCCCTCCCTTTTTTTTCCCCCCCTCCGCTTCCCCTCTCCCCGCCCTCTCCCCCCCTCTCCCTGCCCTCTCCCATCCTTCCCTCTCCCTCTCCCTCCCTCTCGCATCCCTCTCCCATCCCTCTCCCCTCCCACTACCCCCCCACTCCCCCTCACTCCCTACCCCCCCATTCCTCTCGCCCTCTCCCCAGCCCACTTCCCCAGCTCTCCCCAGCTCTCCCCTCTCTCCCCTCTCTCCCCTCTCTCCCTCCTCCCCTCTCTCCCCTCTCTCCCCTCTCTCCCCTCTCTCCCCTCTCTCCCCTCTCTCCCCTCTCTCCCCTCTCTCCCCTCACCACACTTCTCCCCCCTCCCCAGCGCCCACCTCAAAGAAAGCATCGCCAATCTCGTCGCGGGAGCACCCGCGTTCGTTCTCGAAGCCCTCGCGCACCCCGCTCCCCCCCTCTCTCCCCCCCCCATTTCCGCCCTCTCCCTTCCCCCGCCGCCATCTCTTCAATCGCCCCGCGCGCACCTCAAGAACGCGTCAGCGATCTCGTCGCGCGAGCACCCGCTTTCGTTCTCGATGCCCATCTGCCGCCGCCTCTCCCTCCCACTCTCTCTCCCCTCTTCCCCCCTTCCCCCCTTCCCCCCGTCCCGCCTCCCCCTTCTCCCTCCCCCACCTCAAGAAACGCGTCAGCGATCTCGTCGCGCGAGCACCCGCTTTCATTCTCGATGCCCATCTGCCGCCGCCTCTCCGCCTCGCGCGGGTCCTCGATCATCAGCACCAGCCGGATCTGCGCATTGGCGCGCAGTGGGCGGATTGGCAGGGGCATAGAGGGGTGGGGCGCAACGAAACGGGAGGGGTGGGACAGCAAGGAGGGTCCTCGGTCATCAGCACCAGGCGGATCTGCAGAGTGGCGCGGGAGGGGTGGGGAGAGGTGGGGGAGAGGTGGGGGAGAGGTGGGGGAGAGGCGGGGGAGAGGTGAGAGAATTGGGTCCTCGATCATCAGCACCCAGTCGGATCTGCGGAGATAGGCGCGCGTAACGTCACATTGGAACGCGGCGGAGATTGGTACGCGGTAGGCGGGGTTGGGGGCAGAAATGGGTGGGGGGCAGGGGAGCGAAATGTGGAGAGCAGGGAGGTGAGCGAAGCGCGCGAACTAAGGGCATTGAGGACCTAGTTTGGACACGGAAGGACATGCAATGACGGTGACACAATCTGAGTCGCTGCTGAGAATTCTAAGAAACGCACCTCCTGCACCGTCATGTCGCGACGCTCCTTGAGCAACTCGATGGTCTGCCACGTCAGCACGCACACGCAGCCGCACACGCACACGCGCACCACACGCGCACGCACACGCAAACGCACCCGCACACGCACACGCACACGCGCAGTCATGGAAAAAGAACAAGGTTCGAGGCATGCGACAAACCGCAAGACACAAAACAGCAAGAACGACCATGGAGGCCAATCGGCATGGGCAGCACAGGCAGCACGGGATGTGGTTGGTTGGAAGAGTGAGTGGCCCAACTGAGGGCTCCACTAAGGAGAGTAAGGAGGAGACTAACGTGACTTACGGCCGACTTCCCCCGGAACGACCCTACACTCGCAATCCTCACCGATTTCTACGCTCGAAGCTACACCACTTGACACGTGTTGTAAGCTTCGCGAATGTCGCTAGTGTCGAGATAATGTCGCGCAAATAGCGAATGTCGCGAATGTCGTGAACGGCCTATGCGAGCGCGAATCACCTCGAGGATGTCTTGAATGTCCTTCAGATCCTGCGCTTCTTCCGCCGACAGCTGCGCCTCCCCATCCTTCCCCTCCGCCGCCGCCGCTGCTGCCCGTACGGACCGCCTAGACGCGGGACCTGGTTGTCGCGATGAAACGCTTTGCTGCAAATGGCGGCGGCATCGGACGGCTAGCGATCGCCCGGAAGAGAAAGAGACGAGACGCGACGGGCGGGATGCGGCGCGCTGCGATGAGAGGCGCGATTGAGCGAGCGATGACGACGCGTGTGGGGCGTGCCGGACGGCGATGGACGTAGCCATTGCTGACGGGAGGATGAAACAGACTAGAACTAGAATGAAGTCTCACTGATCAGATGAAATTACATGGAGGAAATCCGAAAAGCAAACACGCATGTGGTGGCAATCTGTAAGGGAATCGCGCATGGATAAGGTACGCGTCAAAAGCTTCCCCTCGTGGTTGTAAAAGGAGCTGTTGGGCTGACAATGAATCTTCGCCACGGCGTGACATCTCTCGTGCTAAGGTGTTACCGGATTTGCACTGCCTGCGATGTCGCCAGCCGCTAAGTGGATTCGCGAGTCACGTCTCGAAAAGGCTGGGGAGGGATGTTTGGGGGTGGTTGGGTGGATAAGAATGGTTTGGAGAGAGGTTGGGCGGGCATTCTGAGTGGTTCGGGAGGGTTGAGGGTACCATAGTGGGATGGTGATGGAAAAGAAAGCTTTTCCATCCGTTTGGCTGGCACAAGCAAGGCAAGGCAACGCATGCAAACCCCAGGGAGTGTCGTCCTGAGAAATCAGGACGCTTCCTCCCTCTCCAGCATTATTAGAGGAATGAATGCTCAGGCAGAAATATACTTGGGTAGGAGGACAAAACTAGTATCGTCAGAGCTTCATAGTAAGCGTCGCACGCAGTGGCCTTGTGAGCGTCTAGACTGTCGCGAGCTGAATGCGGAACGGAAGTGCGAGCAGCGATGTAGTCAAGCCACATGGAGACTCGAGATAGCAGCAGCTGAAAGAACAGGTTTTCCTGAGTTTTGTCAGCTGCGACGCACACATTCTGAACTACCCAGCACCTTACTGTGCAGATTTACATTCGCAGAGCGACAATCGCTCCTAGATTACCTCAGTCACTTAGAACACACGAAACTGATCCGAAGCGACCTTCCGCAATAGTGTATGCTCGTGGAGCCCGACACGGTGGTTTTCTATCATACTCTCGTGATCCAAGCCATTTAGCTCAGGTTGCGTTGAGCTTCACCTCACCAGCCAGTTTGTGCACACGTCTGTTAGAATGACGGCTGTTAGCATGCACTCTAGTGAAATCCACATCCACGATCTTCTAGACGATGTCCTCATCAGGATCTTGTGGCCTTCCAGTCAATCAATCACTTCTTACACATCGGACAGCCATGCTCTGTGCAACTTTGTCACGGCACCCAGGAGTAATTATCTCTACATGCCCGCTACCCCTCCTGCCTCCGCAGATGCCGCTCATAGCATTTTCATCGCGTCCATCTGCCGTCGCTGGCGGCGTCTCGCGCAGAGGGAAGTCTCGTCGCTGCTCGTAAAGGAAGGCCGTGTCGTGTCTCACCGCGATGTGCTCAACGCCGTCACGTGCTTTCCTCGTCTGACCCATCTGCATCTGGCGGATGGCAGTGTTGAAACGCTGGATGACGCGTTACTAGCTGACCTCGCCTCTTCGTGTCCTGGGTTGAGAGCACTGCACGTGGGAAAGTTGACGATGGCAGCGGATGACGGACAGCATGGAAGGAGGGACTGCGTGATATCCGAATTTGGCTTGGATCATTTCTTTCGTCGCTGCACTCAACTGGAGCAGCTGTCACTGTACTGTCTTGAGGAAAATCTGAACCCGCCAGCTTCATTCTTTCAGCTTCAGCATTTGAGCATCCTCTCATTGACCACTGCTTGGATCTAAGAGGCTCCAAACCTAAGCTGCCTTTCGTCTCTCACTGCACTCTCCATGGAAACCTCCTCCCTTCGTTACGACCAGCTCTCCAGCCTCCTTCACCTCACCAACCTCACCCGCCTCTCCTTGCCTGATGAAATCCGCCCGGTTACATCAGATCCGCCTGCCTTCTCACTCGCCCAGCTACCCGCTCTCGAGTCGCTCAAGTTCAAACTGCACGGTGCACAGCTCAGCGTTTTCTTCCCTCTTGGATCGCCATACAGGGTCCTGTTACGGCTGCACCTGAAAGATTGCTACAACCAGGAGTGGCTACCAGACAGTATAGGAGAGGTGCTGCCGTGCCTCCAAGACCTCGCCATGCGTGGGTGCAGAACTCTCAGCAATCTAACTGATCAGTTCACCACTCTCACGTGCCTGGAAAGCCTGACCATATCCTCGTGCAGCGTGTCCTCTTTGCCCCACAACTTTGGGAAGCTTCCAGCACTGAAGGCGCTGGTGCTGCACGAGCTACCGCTTCGCCATCTCCCTGCTTCCTTCACCAGACTCGTACCTCTGGAGTCGGTTCTCCTAGTTGGGTGTAAGGGGATGCAGGAGCTACCTGGGGGGTTTGGCTGCCTCACAGCACTGCAGTCTCTCAGCCTCGCATGGTCGCCCGCCCTAAACCTTCCAGAAGACTTGGGGGGGCTGACCAATCTCCAAACCCTCTGTCTCAACAGTATCCGTGCAGAGCAGCTGCCGGCGTCATTCACGCAGCTAGCATCGCTGACTAGGCTGGAGCTGAAACTGTGCGGGATTGCTGAGCTGCCAGAGGGCATGGCGAAGATAGCACACCTGCAGGAGCTCTCCATTCAACACTGCCGTTCTTTCAGGGAGCATCTGGAATTTGTAACAGCGCTGGTCCGCCTTGAAGTGCTGAGGATAGAATGGTGCCACAGTCTCTCCTCGGTTCCTAGGAGGCTGGACAGCCTCACCAAGCTGACTCAGTTGGGACTGTTGGAGTGTTGTCGGCTGAACAACGCCCCTCTGACTCTCCCACTCAGCCTCCAGGCTTTGTCCTTTGAAAAGAATCCGTACGGGGCATCTCTGACACCCACGCACCTTAGGGAACTGTGTTTGGGCACTGTGGGTGCAACCTGTGTTGAGGCCGTCAGTGCCCATCTCTCCGCTGTGGAGCACCTGAACTGGTGCTGGGAGAAAAAGCAGAGGAGTGTCTCTTTCCCTGTTGGCAAGGCTTCCCCGCCTCCGCACCTTGATGCTCAAGGACGTTCGCAGTGTGAGCAAAGCTGGTGGAGAGTAACAGTAATGGGTCAGTGCTGCTGGAGCTGAGGCAGCTGAGCATCATCAATTGGGTGGATGGACTCACAGAGCTGCCTGCAGCCATCACCACTCTCCACCACCTCACATCCTTTCAACTCCTCGCGCCGAATCTATCAATTCTCCCGTACGGCCTTGGGGCTTTCTCAAGGCTGCGCAGGCTGGACCTATCCTTCTGCTCATCCCTCACGCATCTCCCTGTTTCCCTCACTCAACTCTCCTGCCTGCATGAGCTGAACGTCAGCTACACCCGCATCCGGCTGCTTCCTGCTGGCGCTCAGCTCAGCAGGCTGAGGTTCCTCAATCTTCAGAACTGCAAGCAGCTCCGGGCTCTGCCTGACGACATAGGAGATCTCAGAATGCTCCAACAACTTAGTCCCTTTCCCCAGTTGGTGTACCGTATGGCAGCATACCGTAGTCAAGTCAGCCTCCAACCCTGACTTGTACATGGTAAATGCGTGTGAGGAGTAATGTTTTGTGACGTCTCTCTCAACCTTTACATGGTAGATCGATGCACGTGCCAACCAGCAAGGCTTTCCACCAATAACCCCGTAAAGAAGAAAGAATGGCATTTCAGAAAATGCTATGAAGAAAGAACATTTTGTACTTGATTTACTTGTACCGTACATATATTTATGCCACCTAGCGCAGCAACAACATAATCCCACAGGCTCAGGTGAACAGAATCACTAGCTGCAGTGTCAGCGCAGAGAATAACCCTTCCCGGAGAAAGCTTGGAAGGATGGCTTCTGAGGTTCTTCCTTTTGAGGCTCCTCCTTTTTCTTTGGAGCCTGCATGCACAGCAGATGGATTTCACATTTAGGCATTGATATGCAGAAGAGAAACGATAAAAAAAAGTACCATATGAATGCATGTAGGTAATGGCATGCGACCATGGGGCCGCGCATCCCCAGATATGCATTCACCAACCAAACTTACAAAGTGCCACATTCACCATAACGCATCACCCATACATCACCACACATCAATAGATTTATACCATACCGCACCGCACCGGACTCAACCATGTCATGTACCCTGGGACCCGCTCGTGGTGCCCCGTCTCCCGACCCAAACACCAACCGTTCCTCCTTTCTACCCCCACTCGCAGCACCAGCAGCACCACCGGCACCACCAGCACTACTACCACTAGTGCACAAACACAAACAGACATCACCTGACACCATACTGCACCGCACTCAACCACGTACCCTGGGACCCGCTCGTGGTGCTCCATCTCCCGATCCAAACACCAGCCGTCCCTCCTTTCTCCCCCCACTCGCAGCACCACCAGCACCACCGGCAGCACCACCGGCAGCACTACTACCACCAGCGCCACCAGCACTACCACGCGCCCCACCCGCCCCGCCTGCCCCAGATACGCCCTCTCTTGATGCTGCTGACGTGGCAGATGCTGACGTGGCAGGGGAGGAGGGGGAGGCTGCTGGGCGGCCGTCCAATCGCCTGCCAGTGCCGACGAATGGCGTGAAGGCGGGCTCCTCGGGTGGGGGGGCTGCGTCTGGTTGGTGTGAGGAGAGAAGGGAGTGTGGGAGAGAGGAGTGTTTGAGAGGGGAGTGTGGGAGAGGGGAGTATGGGAGAGGGCAAAGTAAGGGAGAGGTGGGAAGGGGATACGTCTAATTGCTTGACATAAGAGAAACAAGGGGGGGAGTGTGGGAGAGGGGAAAAAGCAGGAAGGGAGGGAGGGGGGGCATGCATGGTGTGAAGTTGCACTCCTTGGTGGGGGCCGCTGCGTCTGGCTGGTGCGAGTGAGGTGAGAAAGCACATGGAGGAGCGTGGAGAGGGGAAAAGCAAGGGAGAAGTGGGAAGGGGGAAGAGGGGAGGAGATGGCATGAAGGCAGGCTCCTCGGGTGGTGGGGCTGCGTCTGGTTGGTCGAGAAAAGAGAAACAAGCGAAATAAGAGAAATAAGAGGGGGACAAAACCAGGAAGGGAGGGGAGGGACATGTATGGTGTGAAGTTGCACTCCTCGTGTGGGGCCGCTGCGTGTGGTTGGTGTGAGGTGAGAAAGCGCATGCGGGAGTGTGCAGAGGGCCAAAAGAGGGGAGGGTGGGGGGGACGAATGGCGTGAAGGCGGGCTCCTCGGGTGGGTGGGCTGCGTCTAATTGGTTGAGATAAGAGAAAAAAGCAGGGGAGTGTGGGCGAGGGGCAAAACCAGGAAGGGAGGGGTGGGGACATGCATGGTGTGAAGTTGCACTGCGTCAGATTGGTTGGGATAAGAGAGACAAGCGGGGGCTTCTGGGAGAGGAGAGAAGTATGGAAGGTTGTAGAGTGTGGGGTGGGGTAGGGGAGGGGAGGGGAGGAGAGGGGGGGGGTGGTTTTGTGAAGGCCGGTTCCTTGGGTTCGGGAGGTGCGTGTGGTTGCTGGGCTCACTTTCCAGTCCGTCCTGTCTCGATGGTGGAGTTGGGTGCACCTGGGCATTGGGCATGCATCCAGAGGACGCATGCATCCAGAGGAAGCCGTGTCCACATACCTGCTCTTCTGTCTTTCCCGGCGCTCTTCCCTCCTCCAGCTTCAGAAGCACCACCAGAAGCAGCACCACTAGCAGCAGCAGCAGCAGGTGCTTTAACAGGAGTGGGCACTCGCTCCGGCTCCACATAATCGGGGAGGGGCGAAGTCCACCTCACAGTCGGTCTCGATGATGGAGATGGCTGCTCCTGGCCGCGCGCCCACTGAGAAGGCACAAACCCGATACCACACATACCACATACCACATACCACATCCCACATCCCACACACCACATCCCACATACCTGCTTTTCCGTCTTTCCCGGCGCTCTTCCTTCCTCCAGCTTCAGAAGCACCACCAGCAGCAGCACCACCAGCAGCAGCAGTAGCAGGTGCTTTAACGGGTGTGGGCACTCGCTCCGGCTCCACATAATCGAGAGGAGGGGCGAAGTCCACCTCACAGTCGGTCTCGATGATGGAGATGGCTGCACCTGGCCACAGGTCTGGTCAGACCGACTGATGGCGGCACCTGGCCGTGCCCACATACCTGCTTTTCCGTCTTTCCCGACGCTCTTCCTTCCTCCAGCTTCAGAAGCACCACCAGCAGAAGCAGCAGCAGGTGCTTTAAAACGGTTGTGGGCACTCGCTCCGGCTCCACATAATCGAGAGGAGGGGCGAAGTCCACCTCACAGTCGGTTTCGATGATGGAGATGGCTGCTCCTGGGCGTGCGCCCACTGAGAAGAGAAGGTACAAACCCAATTCCACACACACCATATCCCACATACCTGCTTTTCCGTCTTTCCCGGCGCTCTTCCTTCCTCCAGCTTCAGAAGCACCACCACCAGCACCACCACCGCCACCACCGGCACCAGCGGCTCCAGCTTTAACGGGAGTGGGCACTCGCTCCGGCTCCACATAATCGAGGGAGGGGCGAAGTCCACCTCACAGTCGGTCTCGATGATGGAGATGGCTGCTCCTGGCCGCGCGTCCACGACGTCAATGAAGTAGCGCTTGTTGTTGTATGCCACCATGATGCTCTCGCCCTTGGTGAGACAGGAGAAGCTGCGGAGAGTCATCTCAAGCCTGGAAAAGCACGGGCATACGCAGGATGGAAGGAGAGGGTGGGAAGGGAGGCTCAGCCCACGGTTTACATAGGGCGTGAATCCAGCACGTGGGATGAAGTCGTGCATGTCTGTTGTATGCTACCATGATGCTCTCCCCCTTTGTGAGACAGGAGAAGCTGCTATGGTTCATGTCGAGACCATGACCACCCAACAATCTTCCAGAGAGATGAGTCAATAACAGGTGCCCTTAGGGAGAGTGGCACTACTGCTTCCCCCTCCCAATAAGCACACCTCTCACACAATCACAGTCGCACTCACTCACACAGCTTTCCCATCTCCCATCTGCTAGTACTCACACGGCTTTGGGGTTGGAGATGTCAAGGAAGTCCTTTGTGTGTGGCTGCAGCTTCACATACGAACCCTTGGGGAGAGTGGTGTGTGTCGGCGCTAGTACTATCTCCCCCCCCCCCCCCCCCCCCCACCTCTCCCCCCCCCCCGTCCCGCCCCCTCTTCCCTCCCCACCCTCCCCCAAAACAAGCACATCCGTTACAGTGACACACGACTCACACGGCTTTGGGGTTGGAGATATCAAGAAAGTCCTTTGTGTGTGGCTGCAGCTTCACATATGTGCCCTTGGGGAGAGCGGGTGTGGGGGCTAGTACTACCCCCGCCTTCCACCCCCTCCCCCCCCAAAAACAAGCACATCACTTACAGTCACACTCTACTCACACGCTTTGGGGTTGGAGATGTCAAGGAATTCCTTGGTGTGTGGCTGCAGCTTCACGTAGAAACCCTTGGGGAGAGTGGGTGTGGGCGCCACTAAACCCCCCTCTCTCCCCCCCAAGAACAAGCACATCCCTTGGACAAGTACACTCTATTCTCAACTCCCATCTTTTACTACTCACACAACGGCTTTAGGGTTGGAGATGTCTAGGAAGTCCTTGGTGTGTGGCTGCAGCTTCACGTACGTGCCCTTGGGGAGAGTGGCGTTCCTGAATCGCACGATGTCACCCTCCTGTAGTAGCAGATTCTGCATCATCTGAGAAGGGGCCAAGGCCGGGTGTGGTGGGGAGGGCGGGGAAATAGCAGCAGGTGAATTAGCAGCAGAAGCTGACTTAAACCTGCAGCTCCACGTAGGTGCCCTTGGGGAGAGTGGCATTCCTGATCGCACGATGTCGCCCTCCTGTAGCAGAAGATTCTGCATCATCTGGAGAGGAGAGGAAGGGTACAGAGCAGCAAGGGAGGGAGGAGAACAGGAGGGAGGGTACTGTTTTGAGTCAACTCAAAACACGGTATATTTCGTGCCGATTATAAGTCGACTCAAAACATCGCACTATGTCCCCCTTCTGTAGCAGCAGCATCTGCATCATCCGAAGACGATACAGCAGATCAAGAAGTAAGGTAGCAGCAGGTTCTGTGTAGCAGAACCCGATATAGGAAGCCTTACCCAATATGGCATGTACATGTAGCCCTCCTCTGCAATGAACTCCAACACGCCACAGCGCTGCTTCTAACACAGGATGACTCACCCAAAATGGCAAGCTTACCCTTTATAGGAAGCCTTACCCAATATGGCATGTACACGTAGCCCTCCTCTGCAATGAACTCCAGCACGCCACAGCGCTGCTTCTAACACAGGATGACTCACCCAAATGGCAAGCTTACCCTTTATAGGAAGCCTTACCCAATATGGCATGTACACGTAGCCCTCCTCTGCAGTGCAATGCACTCCAGCACGCCACAGTGCTGCTTCTAACACAGGATGACTTACCCTTTAGAAAGCCTTACCCAATATGGCATGTACACGTAGCCCTCCTCTGCAATGAACTCCAACACGCTGCAGTGCTGCTTCTCTCTCACACAGGATGACTCACCCTGTATAGGGAGCCTTACCCAAAATGGCAAGCTAACCCGATATAGGAAGCCTTACCCAATATGGCATGTACACGTAACCCTCCTCTGCAATGAACTCCAACACGCCGCAGTGCTGCTTCTAACACAGGATGACTCACCCAAAATCGAAAGCTAACCCAATGTAGAAAGCCTTACCCAATATGGCATGTACACGTATCCCTCCTCTGCAATGAACTCCAACACGCCACAGTGCGAGGTGCGATTGGCCGCTGCATTGTGCACCTCAAAGAGCATGGGGTAGTCTATGTGCAGCGACGCTGGTGGGATTGGGAAGGTGGAAAAGGAGGGCAAAGCGGTACAGATGGGTTATGATGAGCGTGTAGCATGCGTGCGATTGGATGCTGCATTGTGCACCTCAAACAGCATGGAGTGGTCTATGTGCAGCGACGCTGGAGTAGGGGGGGATGGAGAGCGGTACAGATGGGTTGTGATGGAACATGAGAGTGCGACGTGCGATTGGCCGCTGCAATGCGCTGTGCACCTCAAAGAGCATGGGGTGGTCTATGTGTAGGGAGGCTGGTGGGATGCAGAGAGGGAGGGGTGCAGAGCGGTACACAAGGGTTTATCTATTTTCTCATGTACACCTCAAACGGCATGGAGTGGTATATGATCAGGGAGGCTGCTGCGCTGTGCACCTCAAACAGCTTAATGTTCAGTGGGGCTGGTGGGGTGTGGTGGAAAAGGGGTGCAGAGCGGTACAGATGGGCTTATGTATTTTCTCATGTGCACCTCAAACAGCATGGGGTAGACTATGTGGAGGTAGGCTTGTGGAATGGATGAAAAAGCGATGAGGAGCGGTACAAAAGGGGTTGCTTGATTCTCTCATGAGAACCTTGAACGGCATGGGTTATGTATGTAGAGCGAGGCTGGGACACAGGGAGAGGCAGAGGAAGGGGAGAGGGCAGAGTGGTGAAAAGTGGATGCAATAAGATGGCAAAGGCGCCTGTGCAGAATTACCAAGCATGCTTATAATGAGTATGGCGAAATTCTAAGCCCGTTGGAAAGAAAGCAGGCAGGGTATGGCTTACAATGGGTATGGCTTACAACGGGTATGGCTTACAACGGGTATGGCTTACAACGGGTATGGCTTACAACGGGTATGGCTTACAACGGGTATGGCTTACAACGGGTATGGCTTACAACGGGTATGGCTTACAACGGGTATGGCTTACAACGGGTATGGCTTACAACGGGTATGGCTTACAACGGGTATGGCTTACAACGGGTATGGCTTACAACGGGTATGGCTTACAACGGTTATGGTGGACTTACCAAGCCTGTCGAGGGCAGAGGGCGGCATGATGACTGATGGGAGGAGCACGGTTGCATGGAGGGATGGATGCATGGATGGCATGGCACCATTTTGAGACGTCTCAGAACATTACTTCATACACGTGGGTATGGCTTACAAAGGGTATGGAGGACTCACCAAGCCTGTCGAGGGCAGAGGGCGGCATGATGACTGATGGGAGCACGGTTGCACGGAGGGATGAATGGAATGGCACACCGTTTGACATGGGCAGGCAGGGGGGGGAAGAGACAGGAGGGGAGGGCGGGGAGGGCAGAGGGCGGCATGATGACTGATGGGAGGAGCGCGGTTGCATGGAGGGAGGGCATGGATGGCACACCGTTTGACATGGGCAGGCAGGGGGAGAGGACGAGTCAGGAGCGGAGAGGAAGAGTCAGGAGGGGAGAGGAAGAGTCAGGAGGGGAGAGGGGGAGACGGGAGGGGAGAGGGGGAGACGGGAGGGGAGAGGGGGAGACGGGAGGGGAGTGGGGAAGACGGGAGTGGAAAGGGGGAGGGAGGGGGTTGTTGATTACTTATGCAAATACTATGGGGTTATGGACGATGGCTCATAGGAAGGAGGAGAGAGGGAGGGGAGGTAGGGGAGCGGGTGGGGGATGTTGGGTACGATAACCAAGTGTGAAGTGGCTTGATTACTTAGTAGTAACCATGGTGTTATAAACAGTCACTCGTAGCAACAACAATGTTATTTTTTAGACGCCTCCAGAGTCAACTTTATGCAGAAACTGCGGGGTTATGAACAATGACTCGCAGCAAGCAACATGACAGACAGGTAGCTATGGCAATGAGAGATTGCAAAGGGATGAGGCGAGGTTGCAAAAGGGGGGGGGGAGGTTTGAGGGCGCCTCAAGAGGCGAGGTTGGGGAAGGGGAGGGTTGAGTTCTGAGGCGCCTCAAGAGGCGAGGTTGGGGAAAAGGGGGGGTTTAGTGCGAAAGAAAGGGAAATCGGCAATCACCCCTCCTCGGCCAATCAGGGATGTGCATGACAC